AGCTCTTTCAAGAAAGTTAAATTTCGAATGATACGAAACGTGGTCTTGCACGCAAATAATAGCAATCGTAACTTTGGTTGGTCATTGTTCTCGGACACAGCACTTCACTTGATAATACAATAATTGCTTGCTAATGTCTATTTCATATTCAACTACAGAACCAACCTCACATAAAATGGGTGATGTTTCAAACTTGTAATCTCTGAAGTCACATTTTTGGTAACGAATTTAATGCTTTTCCAACTTTATCACGGACATTGCCACTGATGTTATATATTGAGCACGTTAAAAATATGTAAAACCAAAAGAAAATAGTCCCATCTCTACGCTTACACTTTGCCAAGTGTTGGCGCGGAGATGAGACCAATTGCTGTTCATTGTAAAGTTCCTCGTTGAAAACACTCCCTTTTCGTTCACCCCTTAAGTCAAATATGCAGCCGTATAGTCCCTTATCACCGACACCGTTTAATAGAATATCGCAAATGCATGATGCATCAGATTCATGACCTATTCCTCCCTCACATGAACTCACACTCCATGTCAAAAGACACGGCATTTTCTCTCATCGATCGTTTTCGGATCCTTAAATTGATTCAGAAAAGGGATGAAAAGTAAATGCCCCATCAAATTACGAAAAAAAATGCCCCAGATAATAAGAGAAGTTTAAAAAGCCCCACGTCCTTGTATGTTTAATTCAGAGTTGTAAACTTAAACCAAAATGGTGCTTGATAAAGGAACTTAATCTGCTATAACTCGCTATTCATTAAGTAATTTCAAATCCAGCACCATCCATATGTAAACACTGCAAAACCCGCACCAGTTGCCTAACCAGTTCCACCTCCTGACTTAATGAATGTGTACCACTATATGTTGTGGTACTGTGACCGATTACGATGAGTACTTTCGCGCTGGAGAATAAATTAGGGATTCGTTGTTATCCCCCCAACTTTTCGCATCCCAGCCCCGACTTCTCAAAAGAGCCTATAGTTGCTGTCCTTGCACAAGCTTAGCAAGCACTACACGTGGTTGCGTATCTATCGACTGTGTCATGGTGCAGTCGACAATCTCTCGTGGCTTTATTGATCTCATGTTATCTCTCCTCTTGGATGTCCCTCTCGTCGTCCCCAGAGATCGTCCACCGATCAATCCGTGTACGTCGATCTAAACTATCGCGGATACATCGCAGTGGTACCCAAAGCTGATAAAGAAACGATCGGATGTAGAAAGAGTGGGAGACGTGGCTTGTAACGGGGTGAATCGCTACATAACAATTTATAAGAAATTGTTAGTAGAATATAACTATAAGAATTATATTCTCAGAATATTGTCATAAGGACAAATATTCTGTAGCACTTACGAGTAGTTCCTAATTGGTTGAAATAGGCCATCATATTAACCAACGAAGACGCGCCACGACAGACGCACGCAATGAGTGGTGAGCAGATAATTGATTTACACATTTGTATTTAGACATAGTTAGATGAAGATAATTAGTGATTTATTAACAGACATTAACAATGATAAATACAGTTCTACTTTTAACTTTAACCAAGTACTCGCTTCTCCTTACCGTCTTCCTCTGCACGTACCAGTGTACGTGAAGTTCCGAGGCACCGCCTTATTCTGTCATCAGAATAAGTAGCTTGTACTGTCACCAGTACAAGCTTCAGGTTGCCCCGTTACATATATCCCTCCGGACTTGATAAGTCGTAGGACCTTGACTATGGTCCCATACTTGCTTTAAAGTTTGGCTCAGTGCCGCTCGTTGCCAATTATCTATCGTCGCCCGTTCATCCAGAAGGTCCAAGAAATTCTTCAAGGGACGTGCCAAAACCTGTCGATGATGTAGAAAAGCTTGACGCATAAGCGTCGCCTGGACATACTGGATTAGCGCAATGTCAGGAACCGTCCACGGAAATCTGTATAGCAGTGGGTGAGAATCGAAAACTAGGCCTAGCTCGCACACTTCATGACTTAATGCCTGTTGCACGACAGATGATCCATCGTCGATTACTGGGGGTGACCGGTACATCTCCAGTGCATGCCATCTGCCTCTTGATACAGCGTTATAGTTTGTGACGACTGCATCTAGATCCCTGGTGGTTGCCCAGCGATGACCCCTCCTCGAAGCAGCGACCAGGCATAGGTAGATAGTAATGAAGGACCGTTGTGTAGTCGCAATGCTGAAGACTGGCCAACTCTCGAACCGACGTCGACGTCTGGCGATGAGAGCAGAACTAGTGTTGCCCACCGCTGCAATTTTGATGCAGAGTGAGACCTGAATTGATTCGCGGGCCGGGGTATCTTCAGCACGCGCTTCGCCTGCCCAGTTCTTGTCAGGCCGATCTGTCCCAGCGCACAGTACTCAATCCTGTTATACTTGGTGGTGGTTTACATATTGCCCATGTCATCTCGTATCCATAAATTGTGCGCCCAACTAAACGTGGACCAGAACCTTAAGATCTCGTCGGGCCTGTCATTGACTCACATCGCTCGACTGGGCACCGGTGAGGTATATGATAGAACTTATTCGTCTCCGTCCCACCAGCTTTGAGCCCCATAAATTGAATTTGCAGCATTAGTAGCGACCCACTCAGTCAATTGATGTTGCTTGTAACGGGGTAGCCCGTCACATGATATTGACACCAAACGGTGTCAATAGGAATATTGTTTAGCATGACAATATCCTACCAATATTATCCGAGACAGATTAAGTCGAAGGAATATTATCCTCGTTTGACAACATTCATGCGCTGCTCAAAGATTGTCGAATAAAGATACATTAAACAAGGTTTCGACCTATCGCTACTTGTCGCGCGAATTTAATGGTGAGCAGGTTGTCGTCACACGACGACGTAGTTTTATATGGTTGGATAAAGACTGAAGTTACTGTGATAGCTTAACTACATTAAATACAGTTCTCTTTTTACCCTTTTCTCAAATAGATGTTTGAGTAGATTAGCTTTCCTCTGCACGTACTAGAGTACGTGAAGTTTCGTGGCACTCAAAGGGTGCCCCGTTACACCTGGTAGCACTTTGTAGTCCGTCCAACGACTACTTAGTGTCCGTCCAAAATGAACATGCTGGACGTAGAAGACGACAGCTTTCACGTCACACGCGAAGGCTACTCTTATCTGAGTGACTCAGAGTGGGAGGTAGTCGGTCGCATGAGTGTGCTCGTGGGCGAACCCGCCATCAGTGGTATGTTGGAGTCTCTAAGCAGAGACCAGCAACATGCTGCTATCAACAAGTTCCTTCAAGGGTAACTTGCCGTCGAAATACAGAAGATAGCTTAGCTACAGTAGCAAGGCTCTCATCAGTCGTTGGGCGGGCCGACGCGCATGCATCGATTCGAAACCTTAAAGATTGATATCTCAAGGTACAAGGAAACCGATGAAAATTCCCTTTTGAGATAGTTCGTCGAGTTAGACGATGCCATCAGAGCCCGTCACATCGAGGGTGACGAAATGCAAGTCACCTTTGCCCTGTCGAATTTGACGGGACGAGCAAAGACATGAGCCAAATGGTGAAGCTTCACGACCCAAACGTGTTCGAGTCGATAGAGACCTTAAAGTCTCGGCTAAAAAGACGTTTGGGCCGCCGAGAGCCGAGTTCAGAGCACTCTCTGCACTCTTGAGGCTAAAGCAAGGTAAGCGTGACGTGCACGCTTACGCACAGCACCTGCACTACCTTGCGAGTAGCGTCACAGAGCACCCTGTTGATGAGCACAAGCTTATCAACGTGTTCATCTATGGCCTTGTAGATGGATTGGTGAAGACCTGCATGTTCTGAGAGGACTTTCAAACGCTGGAAAGGGCGATAGCGTATGCGGAACAAGAAGACTTCAGCCTGAGACATTCTCAGGATAACTCGTCAAACTATTGTCCGACGAGACGACAGGAAACGGGAGGTCCCGAACCAATGGACCTCTGTTATAGAGATAGTGAGAACTCACGCTCTCTGCGTCACAAGCGAACGGGAAGATGCCATCGCTGTCAGTAGATTGGACACTACGCTCATTAGTGTAGTGTCCTAAGCACCGTAACACGTTCAAAGACAGGACGGGATGCCCACCGTTGGCCAAGGAAGGGTCCGAGGCGCGGATTCGACCATGTCGCTAAGCCGCGACAGCAAGTCGGACCGTCGAGAAACGATCAGGGTCAGTAGGGGCGGAGCACCCTGCTGATCCAGCATTGTCAAGAGAATTTGCAGGACTCTTGACGAAGATTGCTCCCAACACGCAGTCTCTGTGTGTTACTGCCCTTAGTGATGAGTAGTCTCTCATCACTTTGAAGATCGAAGTGACAAGTACAATGTCCCTTCGTGCCCTAATTGACTGTGGGGCGTCGAACAGTTCGACATTAGTCGCTAGGAGATAGTAGGCTCAACTATGTTGATCGAAAGTTCCCTCCAACGAGGATGACGGTGTGCCTTGCAACAGGCGCATTCATGACGGTGAACAACCTTGTAGTGGGAATACACAACGCGCTAGAACGAAAGGAGTGCGATGATGACTTTATCGTATTGGATTTGGATGACAAGTTTGATGTCATTCTTTGTCTGCCATCGCTTAGAAAATACAAGATATGGGTTAGGTGGCAGCATCGATCCGTGAAGATGCCTGCCGTTTGTTCATCGGATGGTCATCTGATGAACGTTTTGGAGCGTCCACAAGCGTGTGGATGTACTGCGAGTGAGTGCGAGGCCTCACTTGTGATACGGTCGTTAGTATGGTTGCACAAGATCACAGTGTAGAAGGCCACTACACACTGGAAACAGCTTCCGGAACCTGTGTAGAGAAACCGGTTGTGCCGAAGGTTCACCACTTGAAGATATCGAGTGGACTGGAACACGGATGCACACCAATAAGGGTGCATCCGAGAAGAAAAATTAGTGTTGTTCAGGATGGACAACACGTTGAAGCGAGATCATCTACCAGAAAGTCGATCGTAGAGCAAGCCTGATCAACTGAAAGATAGTCGATCGAAGAGGACGTGACCATGATAGTACACGTAGAGGAAGAAATATCCAGCGTTCCTGAGAGCAAAAACTCCCGAGAGAGTTATGTTGATGTTGTGGATTTCCAACCACCTGCGGATGTGTTTTCCCAGAAAATCACCGAGTCAGTAAATGTATTGGTGAATGACGGATCAAGTTTAGGGGCTCATACAATTGATCTGGTTACGCCCCCGAAGTCAGCTTCGGAGGTAGTCAGGTTGCCAACGCTAGAATCCAAAAGATTCTTGCGAGATCTGCGTAGCAACAAGATCAAGCAGATCTGCGTACTCGTCACAGAGGACGAGTACGACGCCGATATTCGGTCGGCACAAGTGTTTGCTGTGAACGAACGGTTTCTCAGTAGATCATCGATGGACGAGAGTAATCTCTTTTAGATGACTCGGATTGAGCGATACACGTCTCAATCTTGGGAGTCTTTGAAGACAAATCCTTTATATAAGGATTTGGTGGAATTCAGGGATGTTTTCCGGGATTCCGTGCCATGCGAGCTGCCCAAAGACAAAGGCACTCGGCATTATATCGAACTGAAACCTGGTTCGAAATACTGTGTCATGAAGCAGTGGCCAATGCCTCGTGAACAGGTCACAGCGATCGACCAATTCTTTGCCGATCGTCTAGCGGCTGGTCGTGTGAGGGAATCAACATCCTCGCACAGATATCCGACCTTCTGTATGCGAAAGGTCACAGGAGGGTGGCGGATTCTGCACGCGCTCGGCAAATTTAACGCTGCATCGGTTCCGGCTCAAACGCCGTTCCCAAGACAGGATGTCACCACTGATGGTATGGCAAATAGTACCATCTTTTCGTCCATGGATCTGACGTATAGATTCTATCAGATCCTCATGCGTGAAAGGGATATCCCGTACACAGCAGTGAGCACCCCCAGTGGTATGCTCTGGGAGTGGCTAGTTATGCCACAGGTGCTAAGTAAGGCCCCGCAACGTTTAACAGATGTGTTACGAATCTGTTGCTATCGGTGCGCGACTTTACACCGAGTTACATCGACGATGTCTTCGTCCACAGTCGGGCTATGGATGGAAAGACGGACGTGGAAGTTCATAGAGTCCACGTCCGGAAGGTTCATACGCTAATGCGAGAGCATAAGTTGTTCGCGAACCTCAAGAAGTGTATCTTTGCAGCAAACGAAATACCACTTCTTCGCTGCATCGTGGGTTAAAACGGTGTACGCCCTGATCCGGGAAAATACAAGGCGATTAGCGACTGGCATGTGCCATTCGACGTCAAGGGACTTATAAAGGTTCCTTGGCTTGGTGGCGTACTTGCACAAATACTAGCGCAACTATGCCAAGATGACTGTTCATCTCTCTCGTCTCTTAAAGAAAAACGAGAGGTGGTCACAGAGCGCTGAGTGTCAGCACTGTTTTGAAGGCATCAATAAAAGCTTGGTCCAATCGCCTGTGCTTGGCGATTGCAGATCAGGATAGGCCATTCCATGTGGTCTGTGATGCCAGCGATTTTGCAATCGGCTGCGCGTTAATGCAGTACGACTTAGATGGAGCTGAGCGCGTCGTCTGTTATCAATCGCGTCAGCTGCAAGCAGCTGAGCGAAATTATTCGGCTCATGACAAGGAACTCCTTGCCATGAAATATGCACTGGCCAAGTCTCGGGCGTATCTCTTAGGAGATAGGCCCTTCATCGTTTTTATCGACTATGTGTCATAACGCACGGCCGTAAACAGTCCACACCGCTCGCAACGAATGGCGAGGTGGCTGTCTTTCTTCGCGGGGTACAACTTCTTCGTCGACTATAAACCAGGACGGCTTAATGTCGTCGCTGATGCTCTTTCGCGTCAGTCCGATTTTAGGCCGATTGCTCAAACTAACAGTGGGGGTGATCCCACTGTCGCGACTCTAACAGTGAGTGTTTCGTCGTCGAATCTGATCGATGACGTGCGAAAAGCATACACAGAAGACGAGTATCTTCTGCGGTTGATGGATTACCTACCCAATCCGTACAGTCAACCTTTGAAAAGCTTGTCGTTTCAATACTGCTCTTCAACCGAACGGTATTCGGCTCGTGATGGACTGCTGTACTATACATCAGTCAACGGCGACACACCGCGTGTCGTCGTTCCGGCTCATCATGAATTGCGATTGTGCATCATGTATAAGTGTCACGATGCCCCAACAAATGAGCATCACGGTAGGGGAAAGACTTACCTCACCGTAAGTCGTGACTTTAACTGGCCCCGCCAGTGTGAGTTTGTGCGGAAATACATTCGCGGTTGCGAAGTTTGTCAACGGGTGAAGCCTATTTCTAATCCCGCGCACACTTACAGCCTCTTCCTATTCCGGCAGAGTACTGGCAGTCCGTATCGATAGACTTCTTCTTTGGGTTTCCTAAAGACGTTCACAAAAATACTGGCATTAGTGTGTTTGTTAATCGGTCCAGCAAGATGGTGCATCTTGTTGCTGTACCGGAGTCAATCACAGCCTAGGGCTGTGCTCGTATCGTCATCGATACAATTTTCCGACTTCACGGGTTACCCCGTGAGTCATGTCTGATAGGGACCCCCGCTTTACAGCGGAGTTCTGGTAATCCGTGTTCCGTTCAATTGGACCACGTTTGAAGATGTCAACTTCTGACCATTCAGAAACAGATGGTCTGACGTAACGCGTCAACCGCGTTCTCGAAGAGATACTTCGAGGGTATGTCCACTCCTTTTCGAGCTGGATTGAGTTCTTGCCGATGGCGGAATTCGCCATTAACAACTCGGTGCACGCGTCGACAACGCATACACCGTTCTTTGTGAATGGCCTAAGCCATCCACGTTCACCCGCCTTCTTGACTCTAGATTAGGGGGGGGGTGGACTCTTTTGAAAAAAAACCCGATCTGGTTCTTGCTCATCACCCGTCGACATTGGTGTTGATGTGATGGATGCCGATGCCGATCTCATCACCATCGATGATGATGATGAAGACGTTGCTGGTATACTCATCATCGCCAGTGACTGCCACAGTGAGAACGATGACGCCCTCAATGATGAAGACAACGTTCTTTTAGCAGTGCACACGAAGCGCACTGCTGTCAAAATAAAAAATAAATCAGCAAAGGAATTTTTGCTGACTCGCGAAGCGGTTGTCCGCTTCGTTCAAGACTCTATTGCAGATGCACTAGACACACAAAAGAGAAACGCATACAAACATGGAAGAGAAATTGTTCTTTCATTTAATGAAGGAGATCTAGATTTACTGTCTACAGTACATCTACCGAAACACGCAGTGAAAAACGTGGGCAGCAGTAAATTACTGCCCAGGTACATCGATCCAATTCATGTGTTGCGCCGAATGGGTAACGCATACACGATTGAACTGCCCCGTAAGATGCGTACGCATCCTACTTTTAATGTCGGTCGTCTACGCCCGTACTATCAGTACGAGCCCGTTTTGAGATGCGAAGAACACCTCCGTGGTCGAGAGCCGAGGCCACCTTGGAATGGTCCCGTTTTAACGAGCCAGTCTGGTCGACCAGCGAAGCGACCTGTTCACGCAGCTCAGCGATGTCTCGACGAGCTACAGCCAGCTCAGCACGAAGAGAACGAGTCGAACGTTCGCTCTCAAGTTGTGCGAACGCAAAAGCGGCACGATCGTCCGAACGATCGTGCGTTAGGGAATTGTAATTATCCCTCACAAGATCCTCAAGCCCATAAGGCCGAGATCGTTAACGATCCAGGTCATCTTGCAACTGTTCCGTTAGACGGTTCAGCTCTTGAACATCAAGTTGATCCGACCCTCGAGCCGGATCAGGTATTCCTACCGCCACCACATCCTTTGGTGGATTCTGGCGGTGATCAACGCTTTCTGTTGGAGCGTATTTTAAACCAACGCAACGTGAATGGCGTCCGGACGAGTTACCTCGTCCGCTGGCGTGGCTATCCACCGGCGTGGGACAGCTGGGAGCCTCGTGCCCAGCTGATTGTTGATGTTCTTGGTCTCGTCGAGCAGTACGACGAGACCCACCCGCTGCATTTGAAGAAGGGCTGTCGGAAAACGACCTCCCCGACCGCGAGTACAGGGATTGCAAGGTGTCAATCCCTCTGGCCATCTCGGAAGAGATGCGCGCCCTCCAGTAAAGATCTTAGGGAGGTAGGCCTCCCTAGGGGCACGGTTCGAGTTGTACAGGCAACCTGGACACGAATCACCCCACAAGAGACAGGGTAATCCTGCCTCTCTTGATAGCCGGTGCAACTTTCATCGCGCCCCGACTGGGTTGCGCCTCTCAGACCTGATGCGAGCTGAATCAAGTTTGGCGAGCCAAGCCTCACGGCCAATGCACTCGATGTTATGGATGAGGGCATTCCATCCGTGCACCAAGGCTTTGCCTCCTTGAACACGGCTACCATTAAATCATCGATGTTTGAAATACGCATCGGTGAAGAACTCTTCCTCAGCAAGGATAGTTTCCGTGCTGGAATCAGGTGGACAAATATTCCTGCAATCGAACAACGGGATTTGATCCCGTTCGGTAGTCGTGCCGGCCAACCGGTCCAACACTTTGGACGGCGGCATCCACGGAGACTTCACTTGGGGAGCGTGGCGCAGGACATTTCGGCCCCTGGCCTCTTGATTGGTGCAAGCATGAGCACTGGCACCAGTGTTACCCCGATCCCTTAAATTACTTCGCTCGTGGTGATGCATGGGTGCATCACCATCATCCCCACGCATCCTATCGTTGGATGGACTTGTGCGAGGCGAAGACTCATCAAAATAATCACTCGATCCTAAATCTCGAGCATGATGCCGCCACGTTGACCAGATCCAGTCAACCTAGCTCTTGCATTGTACGCCCCGGGTGATCTGGAGGCGTGAAATGTCGCCTTCGAGTCGGATACATCATTCGACTCGCCGGAATAGAGGAGCTTTATCTCAGACTCATCTTGATAACTATTCGCGGTACCCCCTGCAGACGCAGCGGATGTACCTGTCGCATGTGGTGACTCACCACGTGGACTATTCACAACAGACACCGCCTGTTGCAGATTCATGAACAAAAAGGGACGAATCGCCTGCTGCTGAGGTGTGAGAGGCACTTTTCGCGGCTGCTGCTTGAATGTGTGCAGCCGCCCTTCTTGCTGCTGCAGTAGCAGCTCGCGTCGTTTTCGAAACCATGCGTTGGATTGGCAAATGATTGGGATTTGACAAACAAGTGCTCCCTTTCTCGGAGTGATACAACGGTGGTCACCCTGTCCATATCAATTCTAATTGAATCAACGGGTGACTGATGGTTAATGGGGGGTGATGTAACGGGGTAGCCCGTTACATGAAATTGACACCAAACGGTGTCAACAGGAATATTGTTTAGCATGACAATATCCTACCAATACTACCCGAGACATATAATATCGAAAGAATATTATCCTCGTTTGATAATATTCATGCGCTGCTCCAAGATTGGTTGATATCAGACATATCAACCATAGATTGCCACCAATCGCTGCTAGACTCGCGCAATGAGCGGTGAGCAGGTTGTCGTCATACGACGACTTAGTTTAATGTAGTTAGATAAAGACCGAAGATGTATTGATAGCTTAACTATATTAAATACAGTTCTCTTTTTACCTTTACTTGACCGAGTCGTTCAAGTAGATTATCTTCCTCTACGTACTAGTGTACGTAGATTTCGTGGCACCCAGACAAAGGGTGCCCCGTTACGATCAGCGTATCCCACCTGCGCAAGAGCATTGCGACGTTTTCTTCCAGAAGATGTGGGCCTAGCCAAGGTCTTGTATGAAGTAAAAATGCCATTTAGCTTCTGTGCAATAGTGATGTCACGAAGATGCATTTTTGTGACATGACTGGAAGGTGTTGACGCCTTTTTTGAATCAGATTTGTTTGGAATACACTTTTAAATTTCGACACGGACGGGACGTCAGATAATTGTCCTCAAATCGTTAAAGATATGTGCACGTACAAAAATACCGAATTTTATCATTTTCAAGCGTATTCCGCCCTCACTAAAATAGCCATAAATAGGGATTTATTAAATAGGGAGATTTTAGATTCACTCTCTTTTTTGGTTTTATTCACCCCTTGGTTTCGTTAAGTAAACAATTAAAGCAGCCAGTTTTGATTAAATAATATATATTTTAAATCTACCATTTCAAGATTCCATTTGATAAAGCACCATCCTGCTTAAAAACGTAAGCACGATAATGCACGTACTTATATATAGTACCTGGCACGAGAGTCGCCCGCAATGTTTATATATGGGGGCTTCTACTATGAAACCTTTGCTTTGTACAATTCGTTACTCGCTACCTGCGGTATTTGTGGCAAAAAGTTATCCACCACATAAAACGATGGGAATTGCTAAATTCACACCCTTTTTCCTTAGATTCACACCCTCCTTCAAAATCTTATATATAAAAATCCTATTCATTTTAAGATTTGTTTCTAGCGTTTAAACCATTAAAAGACGTTACACGCAAGTCGAGAAGACGTCGATATTCATGCATTTCGTACTTAACATATGCTCAATCGGTTGAGGGTAGCAAACTGACAGGTGTCCGTGAAGCATGCTCTAATGTCTGTAAGCAGTCAGGGGGGACGAAACAAAGCGTGCTGTACTCTAATCCTCGCCTAGGCTCTTACGGATCTGCTCCGTCACCTTATGCATTTCTATCTATCTTTTTTATTTATATCTATTGATCGATCTATCTGATTGTATATTTTATCTAATTATATATCTCTATCTAATCAAATCTGTTTTCTATTATGTCGATGCAGTGGAAAAGACCTTGCAGGCTGTCGAGATAGTTACGAAAAAAGTGGCTCCCAAGTCGTGGGCTGAAGCGGTGGGCATTGACAAGACTCAGCCGTTACTGGAAGGAAGTGGACAGGCGACGTCGTGGCCTATTGAAGCTGTTGGTGATCGAAACGCAGCAGCTGCAAAGATAGTGAGGGATCCAACGAAGCCTCTATATTTGAGGACGTGATTCAGGAGGCACTTAGTTGTTTGGACGTGTCGGCACCAGCTAAAGAGATGAAAAAGAGGTAGAAAGAAGTACATTACGAGAAAGAGAGTGAGAAAAAAGAAGGTGCTGACGTTGTGGTGGTTGTGGAAATTGAATTGCTGCAGGGGGCTGGTGAATCAAGGCAACACGTGCTTCCAGAATGTTATCATGCAGTCTGTGCTGGCTTGTCCGCCGTTTTTAAAGTGAGTTGTTTTGTGCTGGGATGTTACTAGTGTTCCCTTTGGTGTGCTCACTGTGTGCAGTTTGTTGGTCGAGACTTCGACTGCTTGTCCACCAACGACTTCAATGTTGGCGAGTACATCGACGTTCAAGGCGTGGCGACACATGTTGCGTTTACGCGCAAGTTTGAAGAACCGACACTGGCTCAATGTACGTCGAGCATCGTTTTTTTGCAGGTGTGGATGGCGTAAGCGTTGTAGGCAGTGCCAAATGATAGTGCGTCGTTTGGAATTGTTCCAATGAAACAGTGCAGGCTCAAGTCAGTCACGGTGACCGAAAGGCCAACGATATGCATGGCAAAGCACCACAGGCGATTCGTATCAGCGGGTACTTCATGGACATATTGGGTGCTTTCTATAAGATGCGCAGAGAGCAGGAAGATGCACTGGAGTTTTTGGAGTATTTGCACGCAGAGTACGAAAAGAGTGGTCTACGTTTGCCTACCTCGTGTGAAAAGCAGACAAAGCGGGCTCCTGTGATCGAGCAGAATGAAGCTAGTGTGGACGCGGGTGCTAAGAGTGCTCAAGCTTTCGATGACGGCTGGGCAGAGGTTGGTAAGAAAGGCAAGAGCAGCGTGCTACGTCAGAATCCCGTTGACACTGTCCGCTCGCCGATAAATTAGATGTTTAAGGGTGCACTACGCTCCGAGCTGAAGCAGATCGGCAAGAGACAAAGTTCGATTACTGTGGAATCGTTTCACTGCTTGCACTTGAACCTCAATTACGAAACACAAGGCCCATCGCTTGTTACAGGCGAGAATGGCACGGCTAATTCAGCCGACGCGTCAACTACTGTTGAGGAGATGATCCGCAATTCATTCGACGTCGAGGTGATCGAAGACGCCAAATAGGTCCCTACGATGAAGAAGTACACGACAGTGGAATCCCTTCCCGTTGTGTTGACGCTGAGCGTGAAGCATTTTACATACCATCCGGAACAGGGACCTGTCAAGTTACAGCAGTTTGTAAAGTATCCGCATTTTCTGGAGTTCCCAACACAGCTACTGTCAGCTGCTTGTCGTGCGGAGAATGGATTGGACTCGTCAGATGCTGCGCCCGTCCATGGTTCTGGCCCGTTGACTCCTCTTCCTGTGTACGAGTTGTTTGCAGTCGTGTCGCACCTGGGCAAGTACGTGGTGGGAGGTCACTACACTTGCGTATGCCGCGACAACAAAGACCAGTGGTTTCGTTACGATGATGAGCATGTAACATCGATCTCGGAGGCTGCGGCGCTCAGTGAGACTGCTTACTTGTTGCTCTATATCCGAACAAGTAAACAGCCACCTGAACCGGTTGTAGTGCCACCCTCACTTTCAAGCTCCCCATTTATCAAGGCGACGAGCGTCAGTGCCCCAAGATGCAAGAGTAGCAACGTCACCGGAAAAAAGTTCCTGGTGGAAAGAATTGGAAAACAGCCTGCATCTGCGTCATCAGTACTCCCTCCGGCACCTCGACTGATTCCAGGCATGTCTCCAACAAAACTAGCCGTGGCAACAACATCGAAGGCAAAGAAGTCTAGCAAGAAGAAGAGCTTGAGGGGGTAGATAGCAGCCAGGGTAGTGAGAGATAACTGCGTGCTTAGAAAAAACAGTTCATAACGACAAACTGGTATACTACCTTGAGTGCACACAAGGAGTTCCTCGTTCAATGGAGTTCCACTGGAAAGTCGTTGCATCGTAGGTCTTGTAGAAGGTGCTGTAATTTATTTTGCTAATAGACAATTGACACGAGGTTAGCACGAGAGTGCCTCTGGTGCACTCGGTTGACTTTCGACACATTGCACTCATGACATTGACTAGAGTTGGCACGAATGTGAGTGCGTCAATGGATACTAGTATAGTTTGCGAAGGGATCTGCGTAGTAAAGGGCTTGTGAATATGGCTTGAGATAGCAGTGTTGTTCAGCTAGCGAGTAGTTTGTGCTGTCTACTTAACGGTGACCTCGTGTTGTGCCCGAAACAAGACGGCGTCCAGAGGCGTGGCTGTTATTACAGAGCGAAGGATCTAACTTGCGATAGACGCAGACTCGAGTAGATTTGCTGATACGACACTCTATCTTGCTAGCTTACTTTGGGAGCAATTCTACAAAGCTCGTGGATGATGACGTCCAGTATCTTGACATGTTGTCCAGCAAGTTAAACAAAACGTTCGAGGATGTATGTGCATTGTCGAAACTGAGGCAGCGGATTCTGTTTGATCGGGTGCGAGGTATTACAATGTGGAATCCGGAGTTTGCACTGCCTACATGTAAGTAGACCACCGACAGTGTTTTCGCACGACGGACTTGTCGCCGCTGGATTTCCGCGTTGCTTACAATCTAATACTCTGCCACGGTTTCCATTTCATCACGTGGCGTCACACTTGCATTGATTTCAGTATCGGGACGTGCAGGATCAATCACGCTTAAGCAGTTTCACTAAAATGAAAAACTGAGAGGCGTTTGTCACAAATTCAAACATACCACAGTATATTTCATCAGCCACAAAACATCATGGCGAGCCACTCGACCAGTTTAATAGCATGTACGTATTGAAAGCATTTATTTCCGTGCGAGTTCACTAGCGACCGGTGTTCGGAGTCTCATACCGTCGGCAACTCAGGGACTTCCCGTGACTTCTGGGATTTGATACGTACCGTTAACAACACAGGGACTTACCGTGACTTCTGTGACTCGACGTGACATTGTAAGCACACAATGTTAGAAAACAAATCTTAAAATGAATAGGGATTTTATATAAGATTTTGAAGGAAGGGTGTGAATCTAAGGAAAAGGGGTGTGAATTTAGCAATATCCTAAACAATGCATCCTAAAGTTTTCGAGAGAAGGCGATTTTCACAGCGACTTTCCACTTTTGCTAAGGTAAAAAAAAGGCACACCAATCAATAATTGATGACTTAGATATAAGCAGAAGTCACTTTCACGTAAAAGCACATCTTTATCATTGTAGACACTAACTTGTGTCGGCACGAAGAAGAACTGCGATTCGTAGTATTGCGCGGTATTTGTGATAATAGCAAGCTACGATGTTAGCTACACGTTACTACAATCATATTTATTGTATCCGACCACATTTTATCCGTCGTGTGTACCTGTGTTTAGTTCTTACTTAATTATATTTACACACAAAAGTATATGCTTAAGTCAGCTCGCCACTCATTGTTCGCGTCCATCGTTGATTAAACCAATGGAGCTGGCTGATATGATGACCCATATCAGTCAATCTGTAATTGCTTCAGATCATTACCCCTTATGGCAATATTCACGAGCATTATCAACCTTGATGACACGATTTTTATGAACAAGTATTAAAGTTAATTACATGTAACACGCTTACCACGTTCCAGTCAGCGTGTACTCAGCCATGTCAATTGTATGATGTATAAAAGCTCAGTACCACACAAAATTAGCAGGTGCTATTACGAGATTTGAAATAAAGGTACTAAAGTTAAGAAAATTACTCATGCGTAGGTACAAGTACACAGATTGGCTTTTACAATGTCTATCGACACTAACGTTTACCTTACCTTCCTATGTAGCAGCTACAATTAAGTTGATACCATAACAATCTGTACAAATTATCTGTCTTTAAATGATTCGTCAGCATTTGCCAATATGTTTTAGTGGTTATTGGAACATTCGCTTGCAAATTGCTTGCACATTTTATAGTAGACCACCCCAGGTCGTTAATTTATCCATCACCTTCACTTTTCTTAAGATTTACGAATGCTTTAGCCTCGGGATATAAATAGTCGTCAACTACGAACAAGCAGGAAAGGTCACGCTCAGAGCTATGCTCTGTAATCCTAAGTACGAAAACAGAAAGTAAAGAGCGTTCATTGTTTAAACCTATGCTATGTGTAGCAGGCTTAGCCATGGTAAGTCTACTGACTCTTGCCTATGGCTCCTTTGATGCTGGACCTTAGCTCTTCGATCGCTTCATGAACAAGATGCGATTCTTGGCTATATTTAAGCTGCAACGGAAAATTTACTGAAGGCGTCCACATTTTTTCCTCCAAAGCAGAGACCTCGCGACCCGTACGCAGGAACACACGACGTTCATTTTTTTCTAGCCAAATGAATGAGATCCGGGTGTCTGAACGCTCTTGAAAGCTCACGTATTGCGTCCACTATAGGCAACTTGTCAAGAAGAGCAACGGCATCTTTGATCGACATATCCGGCGAAAGCTTGGTAGGCATGTCAGGCTTGATGACTCTGTCCGGAAGCCGAGGGCGACTAGCCGCCTCGAACGCGGCTGGTGCAGGAAGGTGCATAACGTCAGCCGCGTTGACAGCAGCGTTAAGTCCCGATTCGATTTCCACCGAATTCATTCGTTATTCTGGCAGTGTTTTGACGTCGGCACGGGCCCTCAGCTGTCTATAGACCGTCCCTTGTTCGATGGTATGAGCGCCATAAGCCACAGAGTCTGGCTTGATGCCACCATACGCGCGGGCAGAGATGGTGGACAGAACGCCGGCAGCGAAGAGTGCACGAAGGTAGAAAACTTTCATGTAAAAACTGGGCGGATGTTCAAGCCAAAGAGTTCGAAGTCGAGCGCAAATAGATCAATGAAGTTCCTCGGGGGGTATTTAGGGACCTAAAAGCTGTGTCCCGTGCTTCACCTATAGAAAAACTTTCCGCTGTCAGCAATCATCAGACGGCGTCCAGATGCAGCTGCTTCACAGTTGCAGAAGCAAAAGACTGCCTCTTTCCAGGCGATGCTTTTTTTGCTGCGATACAGAATGGCGTAAGCATTACCGAATGGGGTCGCAATAAGTTGGTTTTAGTATGGGTGGTGACGAAGCTCAAGGATGATGGCCGACAGCAGGAAGACTTGTGCGGCGGCTGCTTTCGTGCACCTAATCGGACTAGAATGCTGTAGAAAGCCTTGGACAAATTAAAGACATAACGTCAGTGCGTCGCCACTACTTCTGCTCTCTATCTACGTTGCATAGTTGCTGTAAGCATATGCAATTCAGTGCAAAAATTTGGTTATAGCCGTTACAGACACATCGCTGTGCGCTGCTCGTCGTGTCACCGACACGCGAGAATTTTCTGCTCTTTAATGTGTACCCGACTCTCCAAGCAATTGACATATCTCTGTCCACGGACCAGATGTGGCTTCAGGCTGCGGCGATTTTCAACTGACGCATACCAACAAATCGCCAGACGAAGAACGCTCGAGGTAGATTTGTGCGGATACTGCTGAGCTTATGGCGCCAGGCTACTCCGATGTCTCCAGCACGCTCGCATCCCGACTTGACTACGTGCACAGTGATCAGGGTAAATTACTAAATCAACAGCAAGCCACACTGACCAAAAGGAAGCATCCTGCCGGATTAAAATCCCATAGGTGTGATACCTATTTTGATAAGTAAAGCACAAACAAACATTGATGCTCGCCATTTGAACTTGTTGCGTCTGCAAGTGGCAGATTTACTCTCGTCAGATAGCGGTAGTTTTGTTTTGTTGTTTCAGATGGTCTATTTACACGGAATTTACTATGCGCAAGATCTCTGGTATAGTCTTAACCAAGGTGTCAGCGCCGGTGAACCCGGGGCTGTTCATGACTCGCCCCAGTTGTGACTGGTGACCTTTGTGGTTCATACTCGAGTAGCTTAAAACAAGCGTACATAATGGCACCCTCGACAGCCGATGATTCATGTCTGTGTTCTTGTGTCGCGATCTCGCGAAGTTGTCGGGTGCACGTGGCCCAGAAACTGGACGTGGTGCCGGTGATGTCCTTCGGAAAGGACTGATGCACCGCGTCATTTCGGTCAGTCCACAGCTTAGTTTGACATAATGTCGCAAGAATAAACCATATTCGCTTCCACACCCGTTCTGCTGCCTCCCAATCCTCTTGAAACCTGTCGGCTAAGGTGCTCTTCCGATATGCGGGTATGCTGCCGATTCTTCGACTAGCACATGCTCCGAAAAAATGGTGCGTGACCTGACGAGATGCCCGCTCTCCCGTCCAGTGCCCAAGTTGCTAGCTCCACACCGCCACAGCGTATGGGCATTGCCAAAACAGGTTCACCCATGTTTCCACACAACCCATACACCCAGGTCACTTGCGACACGTGCTGTTTTCCACTCGTCCTGCATAGAATAGATTCAGTTGGCCTGTCGCAATCCTATATTGTAACGGGGTAAATCGTTACATAACAATTTATAAGAAATTGTTAATAGAATATAACTATAAGAGTTATATTCTCAGAATATTGTCATAAGGACAAATATTCTGTAGCACTTACGAGTAGTTCCTAATTGGTTGATATAGGCCATCACATCAACCAACGAAGACGCGCCACGACAGACGCACGCAATGAGTGGTGAGCAGATAGTTGATTTGCACATTTGTATTTAGACATAGTTAGATGAGGATAAACAGTGGTTTATTGCAGACATTAACTATTATAAATACAGTTCTACTTTTTACTTTAACTAAGTACTCGCTTCTTCTTACCGTCTTCCTCTGCACGTACGAGTGTACGTGAAGTTCCGAGGCACCGCCTTATTCTGTCATCAGAATAAGTAGCTTGTACT